AGGTAAACTTGTTATAACAGCGTTTAAGACAGCGCTGCTGGAAGGATGCACAAACATCTTTGGTGAATGCAATGCTGGGGGTATGCCCAGGCACTGGCCTCCTAACCAGACAGGTGAGGAAGGGAAAGCACTGCAGTCACCACTGATGAGCCTCACATGGCTAAAGAGAGTGAGTGAAACCCTCGCTGCTCATTTCCTAGACCCCTCAATTGACACATCCGGAGAGAGTAGTCCCTGGGAGAGCTTTTGTATTTTCTCCACTCCTGCCAGAGAATACACTCAGAAAGCCTCATGTGTCCTCGTTATTAGGGACTTTTTATGTGGCACCCTTACCAAGTTCCACTGTAATAATACCACACTACATGATATCACTACAATTTTTTTTTAAATAGGATTTACTTTTTTTAAAAAATAATTTATTTATTTATTTATTTGGGGGCTGTGTTGGGTCTTCGTTTCTGTGCAAGGGCTTTCTCTAGTTGTGGCAAGCGGGGGCCACTCTTCATCGCGGTGCACGGGCCTCTCACTATCGCGGCCTCTCTTGTTGCAGAGCACAGGCTCCAGACGCGCAGGCTCAGTAGTTGTGGCTCACGGGTTTAGTTGCTCCACGGCATGTGGGATCTTCCCAGACCAGGGCTCGAACCCGTGTCCCCTGAATTAGCAGGCAGATTCTCAACCACTGCGCCACCCGGGAAGCCCATCACTACAATTTTTAAAAGTTAAATAAATAAAAATAAAAAGCTATGATTTTATTGAGTGCCTACTATGTACCAGGGCTTTACCTACTGAATGTGTCAACATTTAAGACACATGTGAAACACATCGTACTTTTGTAAGGAAAAATGAATAGGCATGTATTGACAGTGACTTTAAAGAGGTTTTTTAAGTGAAAATGCACAGTTTAAAACACATGCAAAGAGTATACTGGAATCCAATAGGAAAGCATAAGTTCTGAATGTGCAGTAATACTCTACTACCCCTGACAAAACGTATACAACCACATAGCAAAAAAGAAATATATTAGTACCAGTGGAAATGAAAAGATAATGACATTACAGTAGTAGTAAATTTAGACTAAAATATTAGCAGGATAATAAAAATTCCCCCTCTCCTCTACAGTGTGTCTGGTGGCTTGCTATTTTTGTTTTGTTTTGTTGCTTTGTTTTGTTTTGTTTTCTTGGTGGCTTGCTGTTTTTAAGAAAACCACTTACAGGCTGTACATCTTTGCGGGGATAGTTGGTGTTGTCACATTCTACCAGTAGGAGGCAGCATCATCCACCTACCATTTACCTCTTCATTTTGGCCTTCAATTTTTATTATGGTACATTGGATACAAGGTATTTTGTTTGGGGTAGGGTTGCCAGATTTAGGAAAAATAAAAATAGCACGTCCGATTAAACTTAAACTTCAGGTAAACAAGGAATCATTGTTCAGTAAAAGTATGTCCCAAATATTGTGTGTATTTTTTCTGGCAACCCTAATTTTGGGTGAGGAGAGTTGTGGATGGAGGATGTGAGTAAAGGGCATTTTGTGTAAACTTAATGCAAAGAGTCACAATTACACTATTTCATAGATTTGGAAACTGAGACTCAGAGAGACTGTTAAGTAGTAAGCAGCAGAGGCAGAATTTGAACCCAGAGCAATCGGCTCCAAAGCCCATTATGTGCAGGCGCTTTTTAAAATTTTTGTTCTTAAAATAATTTTCTCTGCACTGTATCTTATTGCTCTCTCTTTTTTTAGCTTTTTATCTCCATAGGCTTAACCTACAACCATGCTCAAGTTCCGGCCTCACCAAACCTTCTTTTTCTTTGTTTTCCCCTCAAGCCACTGTTCGGTCAATCATTTCCTTTACTGTCAAATGTTTGGAAAGAATGGTTTGTATTTGCTGACCCCACTTCTTCACCACAGTTACCAATTAACCCTCTACATTCTGGTTGCCACACTCACCTAGCCAAATAAATTGTTTCTCAGAGGTCACCACCAATGACCTACGTATGGTCAGGCCACTCAAGATGGCTGTCCTCTTGCTCTCAGTCCATCCCCTGTTCCACCAGGCCCTGCTTCACTCACATGACTATCCAATCCTCTTAATTATAGGGCTTAATCAGTAACTGCCTGCGAGCTTGCCCTCTGCCCCTGCTGCTGGTTTCCATGGTAACTGATGAGCCCACCTGACATCAGTTCCCCTATAAATGGTAGCCTCCTTCTCCACGGAGTAGTGGAGGCTGTTGCCATGTCCTGTCTGCTGCCGGCCATCCATGGAAGGAGTGTTGCTCCAGGACCTTTGTGTAAGATGCCCCTTAACCAATGAGCTTTGATGTCTCTGTTGTTGTCTCCAGGCTTTTTCTTTGGTCTCAAGGCTGAGCAGCTACAAGATTTGCAGGCTGGTGGGGTGCGGTCCACCAACCAACCAGTTGACAGATTCAAAAATCTCTTCTCAGACCACAGCCTACCTGGGCGCTCTGTAATATTTATATGATTGGCAAGTCCAAGGCAGCACAACTGGAAAACCTGGTTCAACTCGTGGGTCCATCAGGTAAGCAAGTCACTTAACTTCTCTGAGCCTTGGTTTACTCATCTGTAAAATGGAAATTATAATTCCTGCCTGGTTCATTTCTCAGGAGCATAGTGACTTAAAGTTACTGAGGCCTCCCAGGAAGATGGGACTCTGCAATGCCTTTAACATCAGAGGTACTTTGTAAACATTCGTTGAATGAACAAATAACTGAACGAATGAATGAATATTAGTCTTACAGTTCCTCAATAACCAAAATAAATCAAGATTACAAATCTTTATCAAACCATCTAAGTATAAATATGAGTACCAATTTATGAGGCCCCTGGACATCTCCTTACAGACCATATATTTCTTTTTTTTTAATCTATAAACCCCTTCCTTCAAAAAGTATCTTATGTCATACCTCAATATATAAAACAGATGAGTCAGAGCTGCTACAGGTTGGCTGAGGAGGGAGGGCTGGCACTCCGTGGAGGGTGCAAAGTGACCACACATAAGCAGCTCCATGGAGTGACTCGGGGCCTTTTCTGGTGGCTTTACTGCTGAA